AAATTTTTTAATTAAATCAAATGAAAATTTATATAAATCAAATGAAAATTTATTTAAATCCAATGAAAATTTATTTGAATCAAATAAATATTTATTAGGCTGTGAGACAAATATATCATTTCTCTGGGTGTAATATGTTTTACTATAAAACAGCGAAAGTTTTTGCTATTCTAGAGAAACATATCGCTGTTCAAGATAAAAATTTGTTTCCCTAAATATATCTTTTCTATGAGTGTAAAATCAATTTTAAAAAAACTATCTAAATTATTTAGTATAAATTTATTATTATTGGTATTTTTTTAGATATAAAAAAAAATATATATTTAAAAAAATTATTATCTGAAATATTCACAAACAAGAATTTAAAATCTATTTACAGAAGCTTATAAAGGAATGCAGAAAAATATATAAACTCATTTTAAAATTGAAACAAAATGAAGATTGCAGTCTTAAATAATAGTTGAAATTTATTTTAGATTAGATTATGCAAGAATAACCGTAATTTTCTGACGAAATAGTTTATATATATATATACACTGTAGGTAGATTTATCTTCCATTATATGATGATATTTTTACACCAAATAAGAACGTAGTGACAATTTTCAGTCTTTTAGTGCGCGGTATTTCCTTTTGTGTGTGTTATGGAAGAAAAAAAATTGTTATTTCGTGGTTTTACCCCCCTTCATTTATAAAAAAAAAGAGATAGGAAAAAACTGCCTCATTAGCATTCCGACGTTTATTTATTTTCTAAAAAAAATAAAGAAAATACATCGTATTTTGCAATTTTTTTCCATTATAATGAAAATAAACATTTTAAAAAACATTTTTAAAAACCCTTTTAAAAAAAATATTTTTAACAATATTTACTGAAAATAAATATATTTTATAAAAAAATGTATTTTTAAAAATATTTACTTAAAATAAATATTTATAAAAAAAAATATTCAAGTTATTAAAAAATATTTTTCAAAAGTATACCAATAAATAAATTTTTTTTTTTTTCAATTTAATAAAAAAAAAATTGATAAACCCTTTTTAAAAAAAATCGTAAATTACAATAAGATTTGAATATCAAAAAATTTGATAGATCAAATTAAGATAATTTTTGCTTTCATTCGCGGAAGTAAAAAAAAAAGTGTCTACTTCATCTTAATTTCGTATGAGATTTCTGCACAACTATAGCAAAGCCATAGGAACGATAAAGAGGACAGGTTCGGATAAGAGTCGAGAGAAAAACGGTTTCCAATGTGCGATACGGTTACAGTCCCCGCAAAAGAAAAATACGACAGTAGGGCAGAACGATTTTAAAAGAGAAAAGATAACTATCGTCGACTCCTCTACCATAAAGAAAAACCTCCTTCTTAACGTCATCATTATCGTTATCGCAAATCAATTCCAACAAACTTTTATATATATATATATATATATATATTAGCCAAAAATAATCTATTGAGAAAACTATACTTTTGTGTTCCTTTCGACAAGTTTTATGTCTTTTTTTCAAGAAGAATTATTTCTTTAGAGTGTAAACAATTTTTTTTATTAGAAAAAAAAAATATTTAATGTATCACCTGACAAGAGAAGTAAAAAAAAATGTTTATGGTTGATACATTTATATTTTAGAATTAATATTTCAAAATATAGAAGTGATGTGTCCACCATAGAAATGGATGTGTCAACCATAAACTGTAATGGAAAAATTGTACACATGGATTTGTTAACCATAAACTTCTGTGGAAATTTTTTCAAAATATGTCCGTGTCAACCATAAAATTCTGTAGGAAAATTTAAATATGGATGTGACAACCATAAAAATGGAAAAAATTTTTGAATGTGGATGTGTCAACCATAAACTTCTATGGTAAATTTCAAAATATGGATGTGACTATCATAGAAATGAATGTGTCAACCATAAACTCCTGCGGTAATTTTCAAAATATGGATGTGCCAACCATAGAAATGGATGTGTCGGACATACTATGGAAAAATTTAAAATATGGATGTATAAACTTCTATAGGAAAATTTAAATATGGATGTGACAACCATAGAAATGGAAAAATTTTTAACTGTGGATGTGTCAACCATAAACTCCTATGGTAATTTTCAAAATATGGATGTGCCAACTATAGAAATGGATGTGTCGGCCATACTATGGAAAAATATAAAATATAAATGTATAAACTTCTATCGGAAAATTTAAATATGGATGTGCCAACCATAGAAATGGATGTGTCGGCCATACTATGGAAAAATATAAAATATGGTTGTACAAACTTCTATAGGAAAATTTAAATAAGGATATGACAACCATAAAAATGAAAAAATTTTTAAATGTGGATGTGTCAACCATAAACTCCTATGGTAATTTTCAAAATATGGATGTGCCAACCATAGAAATGGATGTGTCGGCCATACTATGGAAAAATATAAAATATAAATGTATAAACTCCTATGGTAATTTTCAAAATATGGATGTGCCAACCATAGAAATGGATGTGTCGGCCATACTATGGAAAAATATAAAATATAAGTGTATAAACTTCTATAGGAAAATTTAAATATGGATATGACAACCATAGAAATGGAAAAATTTTTAAATGTGGATGTGTCAACCATAAACTCCTATGGTAAATTTCAAAATATGGATGTGACAACCATAGAAATGGATGTGTCAGCCATAAACTGTAATAGAAAATTTTTAAATATGGATGTGTTAACCATAAAATTCTATGGGAAATTTTAAAATATGAATCTGTCAACCATAAACTCATGTGAATTTTTGAAAATATGGATGTGTTCAACCATAAATTAAAATTTTAAAAATATAGTACACGCCAACCATAAAAATGGATCTATAATAAATATATTTTCCATACATTTATTACAATAAATAAAATTCTCAATTTTATACATAAAATAATAAAATTTCTTCATTTTAATCTTTGTTTTCATATTTTTGTTTCTTTATTATATTTGTATCGAGAGAAGAAATCAAGAGTGTTATTCGTATATTTAAAATTCGAATAAAATTATTATTGTTTTATTTAATTTTCAGTAGGCTATTGTAAATAAGTTTTGAAAGTGTACCACATAAGAGATGTAATCGAGCATCAGAGTGTACTAGAATATACCTGTTGGCTAGTTGAAAAATAACAGCTAAATTAGCATGATACAAGAGATTATTTATGCAGCTTTGCGAACATACAAATGTTGTTACATACATCAAGTCTTTTTTGATGAAATTGTACATTCCTCGGGCAACTTCCATTGTTTCACCGTTATCAAGAGCTCAACAACAAAAAAAAAAAGAACTTCTCTCATATACGCATTCATAAATGTGAAATTAAAAAATTTTTATTTTCTTACCACATATTGTTCACGTAATCATATTGAGTAATAAATTTCAATTAACAGTCGAATTTTCCGCATATATTTACATTTTTTTTTTTTCAATTTTTTTGTTTCTATTTTAAATCTTTGTTTTAAAACAAATTAATTAAACTTTTACATATATTTATGGAAATATAATTCTCGATGTATTATTTTGCATGCGAAATATTTATTTCTATTTAATACCTCTCGCAATGTTCTGATAAATAAAAGCATTTTGATTCGGTAAAATGCACGCAGAGAAAATCATTGATATTCTTTGAACAGAAACTCGACCTATATTCTCATCCTTTTAGATTGAAAAATGTCTACCTAAAACTACATTCAAATTTTATTTTTCTTTAACTTTAAAAATATACAATTTTTCATTGACTAGTAAAAACTTTTTCTCTTTCAATGAAATGTACGACATTAATTACTATAATAATTCAAATCGTATTTTACTATAATTTTCCAATTATTGAAATAAAAATATATTTCCTTTTGAGAAAAAAAAAAAAAAAAAAAAGAGGAGTCTAAATTCTTTATCAATTCTAGAATCCAATCAAAGCTGGAAAGTCTTACTACATGAAACTTTATTTCAAACGATTCAAGTTAATTATGCTCCTGTGTAATTTAAACTTTAGAGAAAACTTTTCACCACTCGCTGCTGTGGAAAATGCTTTATTTCCCTCGCAAGTCCAAACGATATACACAATAATCCGGATGACCGAATTTAATCCATGCTAATTCACTTCTATATATATATATATAGCCAAAAGCTCCCTTCTGGAGTGTTGGCGAGAAAAATATACAATTACTTTTCATTTGGGAATAAAACTATACGTCAAAACTAATTATTACTATAGCTTGAATGTGTGTGCCTCATATTTTTCACGTCTAAAAAGTTATAAAAAAAATATTGCTCTCATAAATTCTTTTATTATATTAATAAAAAAAATAGCAAAATTTAATTTTCCAGGCAAAAAAAGAAATAGAAATATGACACTGAAGTTACCAACATTGAATTGAGGAAAATAATTTTTTTTTTAAGATTTAATACTTCCCTGCCTTGGTTGAGGATTTTTATTATTTAGGAATGTATTTGGGACCAAAATAAAGAAGTTTCAATTTTAAAAAATTGGTTCTTGGCCTTTAAACTAATCTGAAAACGAAAAATTCGTTTGTTGGTAACTTCAGCGTCATATAGAAATAAATATTTAATTAATCTTTGTGCACCCAGAGAAATGATTTATTTGAACCAAATAAAATATATTTGAGTTAAATAAACGTATATTTGCCTCAGAGCCTACTAACTTATTTATTTGGCGTAAATAAAAATTTTATTTGTCAGAAATAAATTTTTCTTCGGCTCAAATAAATTTTTTATTTCAATGAAATAAAATATATTTGCAACAAATAAATGAGTTAGTAGGCTCGGAGACAAATATACCATTTCTCTGAGTGTGTAATCAAAATTTTTTTTTTTTATTTCAACTTTAAAATTTTTAATTTTATTATTTTATTATTAAGTATATTTTTTTTATATTTTTATTATTATGGGAAAAATATAATATTGAATTTATATGAAATTCTTTAAATAAGATTTTCGGATTTTTTTTTTACAGATATCAAGTGCCATCAAATTCAGAAAGATCGAATCTGAATAGAGCGGTTGAAATCCACGAGAAGAATCTCGTGGAAACGAGTGATCGAGTTGGTAAGTCATCAAAAAAATTCCTACATCCTTGATTCACGTATACACTTTTCAATCGTAATGGGCTTTATATCTAATAAAAAAGAGAATTTGCAAGTAAATTCGTATTTTTTATTGTATATAAAATAGAATATTCATTTCTCTTTTTCTCTCAATATACATATTGAACAAATATTTACTCTAAATTAAAAAAACATTGGAAAATATCCTTTCAAAAAAAAAAATAAATAAACAAATATTTTTCTTTCTCGTAAAAAGGAAAAATTTTTAATTTATGCAATAAAATTTTTTTTTCAATATAATTTTAATTCTTTCATATAAGACCGCAATCAAAAATCGCAGTTGAGATATAATTTTGTATGTAATTTGGTAATATATAAAAATAAATATTAAAGAATTTTCTATGCTTGAATAAATTTTCACTGTATTTACACTTGGTGTGTGTGAGTGTGTTGTAAATTGTATAGCACTTTCATTCCAAATCATCGCCGCAATGTACCGTAACGATATAATGTATTGTATGTCGTTTTGTATTTGCTAAAGTGTGTATGATGAGTATGAGATTGGATAATTGAAATAATCGATTTGCATTGCGAAAATTGTGTTTTTCAAGTTTATTACCGCATTGATAATGAGTTTTTTTTTTTTAGAATTTTGAAAGCCACTTAAAAGTTTTTATAAATAAACTGAACATTTTCAAATGAGGATTCTTTCTTTGTTAATTAAATATCTCTTTCTAATTCGAATAATAAATAATTCAATAATTTATCAAAAAATATTTATTACTAAAATAAATTTTTTTTAAATATTTTGAAATAAATAAATATTGTAAAAAAAATTTCATTTTTTTCCTGTTTTTGAGAATATTTTCAATCACTACAAGTGTTTATCGAAATATGGATAAAAAAGTTATATTGTAGTTATTTATATTTCGGCGGTAAATGTATAAATGAAAAAAATAGAAATTATTTCAAGTACACTCAACGAGGCATTAGAGTACCTTATATGACTCCTTGAACAATTTGCGAGAAACTTTATTTATATTTTACGAGTAATATCTCTATTTCTTTATCAATTTATAACATATTACTTGCACAATATCAAAAATTATATCAATCAAAATTTCCTTTATATAGTCGAGATCAAACAAAAAAAAAAAAAAATTCAGCTTTAATATTCACAAAAGCAAAAATTTCCTTCAAAAAAGGAAATTTGATAAAAAAACAAAATTTTTCATAAAAAGTAGAAAATATTTTGGAAAAAAATTATTTTCACTATACAAATATTGAAAAAACAAAATCTAATTCAATTAACCAAATGATAAAAAAATTTCTATATTAAATTTTTTAAAAAAATCTATAACAAAAGCATGTACGTCTATTCATTACAAGTACAATATTACCCTAATGAATGTATATTCTTTTGTTCGCGAGAATAATGATACAAAAGAGATATAATCCTTTCATTGAATTCAAATATTAAAAATTCCAAGTTAAATATAAGCATTCTTTTACTTAAAAATTGAAACTTTAGAAATATATACATATATATAAACTTAAAGTACAATATTGAGTAAAATTAAAGCTAAAAGTAATAAAATGTAAAAGAGTACCCCCCATATTCTTTGCAAAAAAAAAAAATATATATACATTTCCATTTCAACGTGCACAAACGGTCTTAACTTTAAATTAGTTTTTAACTTTGAGTCCACTCACTTTTTTCTGTAATGCGACGATATTTTATTTATCGTTCGTTTTATATTGTAGAGACTGTGTATATATATATAGAGAACTTATTACACTTTTTAGTGTAGTACTTTGCAAAAGTACTCTCTTATAAATATTCGATTTTGTTTTATTAAAGTAAACATTAAATTTAAAAAAAAATTTTATTATAGACTAACCAAAAAAATTTAATTCTCCATAATATGTTTTAATTTGAATTAAATTAATTTAATTTTAAAGACACCGAATTTTCATTTGTCCGAAATTACAAATGTCCGAACTAACAATCGACAGAAAAATAGCGCCGAAATATTAATGTCGATTTTTTGTTCGGCCGTTTGTAATTTTGGATAAATAAAAAATTGGTGTCTTAAAAATTCGTACAAATAAAAATTAGGACAAATTAAAATTCGTACAAATAAAAATTCGGACAAATTAAAATTCGTATAAATAAAAATTCGGACAAATTAAAATTCGAACAAATAAAAGTTCGGACAAATTAAAATTCGTACAAATAAAAATTCGGACAAATTAAAATTCTTACAAATAAAAATTCGGACAAATTAAAATTCAGTGAATTGGAAATTCAGTCATTTAAAAATTTGAATGACATAAAATTCGATTGAATGAGAATTCTGTTAAATTAAAATTCTTTTAAATAAAATAATAATAATAATAATTATTATATAAATAATATTATATAATTATAATATTGTTTTCTAATATTATAAAGATATTCATATTGTAATATTATTATGTAAAAAATATTATTATTATTATTATTATTATTATTATTATTATTCAAAGTTAAATTCAGCAATTAGGGATTGAATTAAATTAGAGAACTATGAGGAAATTAGTGTGGTATAACGTATGGAGTCGATATCGAAAGTTCTTGTCAGGACATAGGACCGTTAATCTGATGATTAATTGCCATTTACGTTTTGCTTAGTTAGATCAAATCGAATTGCAGTTCTGACTTTTTATCTTACACTCTTTATCGTCTCAATTATTTTATACGTTTCTCAATTTGTGGACATTTAAAATTTCAATTACTACTGTTTTGAATTTTCCTGAATTTAACTAAAAAAAATTTCTTTATTTTATATGTAATTCTATATAATATTTTTCCATTATTTTTTTATTTTTCAATAATAAATTTCTATAAAAGTTTGAATGAATGTTATAACTTTTTTTATATCATTATTATTTTTTAATAAAAGTTTCAATAAATGTTATTTGTTTTGTAAAATTGTATTGTTTTAATAAAAACATGATTGTTAATATTTTCCTGACTATATACATTGTTGAAATTTTGCATTGTCAATTATTTAAAAATTTTGCATTGTTAAAATTTTTTTTCAGTTTTAATGAACAGAGTTGTTAATTATGAATTGAATAAAAGAGTTATGTTTAAGTAGAAAAAAAAATAACAAAAATACCAAATTTTTGTAGAATTTTCATTTACGATAAATATTCTTTTTTTCTTAATGATTTTAGTACCGAAAAAACCCGGAAATTTCAATCATACTTTTTATCATCATTATAGCTTAAAAAAAAAAAAAAAATTCAAGAAAGTTTCTGTAAACCATTCATTTACAAAAATTTAATATGACTAATATTAAAATTTCGTAACTCAAGACTATGATAGAATCAAAAAAGAATTCTTTTCTTTTTCGTAACAAAACATTTAAATTCTCACGTGTATATTATAAAATGTTCGACGCTTCAAGTGACATGCATCATCTTTGATGGAGGATAATAGTATTGTATTTGAAGATTCTCTCAGATGTCTTCGTGATGTTCAAACTGAATTTAAAAAATTTCATCTAACATGTAGCATGTAACATATGCTGTAGGGGACAAGTCAAGTATATCTTCACGTAGAAAAAAAAAATCTCAAACAAGATAAATCAAATGTGTACCCACGCTAGCAATGACTTTTCTCTTTAAATATCATTGAGAAAGGCTCGAAACTTCAAAACTTTTTTTTTGCATTCAATTAACTTCAATGTAATTACAATTCTTACACAAAATTTTTTCTTTTTCTTTTATAATTTCATTCATATTAATTTATGCAATCAAAATATTTTCAATACAATTTTTTTCACTCGGAATTAATTTTTTAAAAAAAATATCACATGAAATGTGTTCTAGATTTTTTGACAATTTTTCGAGAACAAAAGAAAACGGTATTTCTCTTTCGAGTTGTAAAATCTGACATGACCCGTTTCTTATCAATTCCTTGTGCTTCATTTGGCGCAAAAGCAATCGAACGACAAAAATAAAGAATAATAACCAGACAGAAAAAAATATGACACAAGTCATATATAATCGATTTCATCAGAATGAGAAGAATATTATTGAACGACCTTTTTTAAACTGTCTATACTATTTTCAAATATATATATATACGTAGCCCTCTGATTTTATTCCCTTTTATATACGTGACAACATCGAACACAAGTACCATCACAAAGTTGAATTATTCACTATAAAAGAGAGCTTTCACAAAAGGAGATAATTGAAACTCTGCTGAAATTACGCGTACTCTCAATTTTTAGCTACCTTGTATTTTCGAATTTGGTTTTCAGCTCCTCTTTCTATATATATATATATATATATAGTGACGCAATTAACTTTGGATTTTATATTCCTTTTTTTTTAAAACAAAAAAAAAGTGCTTTATATATTTATCAAAAGGTCACTGGTCCAGATTCGACACATGTGTCATTCATGATGAACGCAAACGTCATTGATTCTTAATGAAGTGATTGATGCAAGGTGAGAGAGTCTCGTTGCTCAATTGGAAAGGGAATATTCAAACTGATTCCCACATGGTTTCACTTCCTGAATTTTCTATTTATCACAAGTGGATCAAACATTATTTTTATTTAGATTTTCAAACTCTCCCATGAGGCGACTCACTTGTATTTGATTAAAACTACTTGTTACGAATACAATGGAGCAAAAATGTACTCTACTTCAATATATAAAAAAAAAAAAAAACTGGGTCAATATTTTATTTTACACGACAAACAAGATTAATAGAATAAATTTTATTTCATTCAAATAATGAATCTACTATTATCAAATCAAAATTATTTAGTTCAAGTAAATATTTATTTTATAATCAAGTAATCATTTAAATCAAATAAATTTTTTTTTATAGAGGCGAACTATTTATTGAGAGACAATTTTTTGTTAAATTATTTTTAACTGCAGCAAAAAATGAGACTAGGTTTTTAGGGTTTCGTGGCTTAGGCCCGAAATCGGGTG